TAATAGGGATGGGTGTGTCAGAGGCGGTGCGGTTGTTGCAGGATAGAGCAGGGTTTAGGGCTGTTGTGCATAGGGTCGCTATGAGTCGGGAACGACTCGACGGCACATAACAACAACAACAACAACAACAACATATAGTTTCCAAGGCCATAAAGTTTACACACAGTTCAAAACATTTGAAAACCCCATGCGCATTTGTATCTTGCCCTATAGAGGTAATAAGTTGGAATCAATTCTACAGCAACAGTTTTTCTTTAGTCATGGCATATACTATGGGGTAATAGCCCTAGTTCTGGTGCATGCTGATTCTCTTGTTGGATTGAAGCACATGATGCCTGCCTATCTAATCCTCCCTGGCCAATTTGGTGTCTCGGGTGCTACCTCAGTATTCATTCCTTTTACTGTTTAAACTCCACTTTGCCAATCCATTGCTAGCAGCATGGAGTAGAAGTGAAGGTGAGTGATGTTTCCAGCAGCGCTTGGTTTTAATCAGTGTGGTCAGAACAGCTGCATCTTAGATGAAAATTTTCCAGGTGCTTCAGGATCTAATGCCAGTGAGGTGCCGTGAGTAGGGGCTCTGGTGGAGTGGGACAGGAAGTGCGCCATCTTCCTCCAAAACAGCTGGCTTAGAAATCCTGGAAGAGAAGCCTCCATCTGAATTGCAGATCCCAGATCCTCAAGAAGAAAAGAAGACACTAAAATGTAAAACTTGTGATCTGTGGAAATAACCTGTCTTTTCCAGAGTCTTACAGTGGTGCTCTTTCTGCTATATGCCTTCTTGGATTTGCACAGAATAGTTAATCCCCACAAACCTGAAACTACCTTATAACTATGAAGTGGATATTTCTCACACAAATCTAATGTTTTAAATAATAGGAGAAACAGTCCATTGGAGCTCAGTTTCTCTGCCTTAAGATAATAGACATGGATAATTGCAAACTACTTCTAGCTCCAACTCAAAGGATGAGTCTTTGTGTGCCAAAAAGTTGGCTCCTTTTTAAATTTTTTTGCGTTTGTTACCTTTTTTCTGACCTTGATCACAGAAATAGCATATAGCCATTAAGATCTTCAGTGGAAAAAAAAATTATTGATTTTTAGAAAACAAAAACTAAACAAGGTATTTCCACCTTTTTTAGAAAGTGATTCTTTACCTTTCTTAGAATTCATGCATTTTCTCTTTAATCTGATCAACAAATTTTTCCTCCTGAAAATAAAAAATAAAGTTAAACCTAAAGTAATAAAGATGTTGGGGTTATTTGGAGAGTATTGCAGTGCCATTATAGCTCTGTGAGACTAACCTACAGCAGGATGCATTTCTAATTTCTTAAGATAGTACTCAACTCATACACATAGACATTATACAAATAATATTTTTCTCTTCCCACATGCACTGCATTTGATACTTACTTTATTAATTTTTTCAAAATATTGATTCCAACCTGCCAAACCAGTTTCACAATCGAGCAGTTTGAAAAAACAACAGCACACATACACACACACATTTTGCCTCAGTGTCTTTTCTCTTCAGAGTTAATGGTCCCTAGCTCTGGTGGTATAATAACTTATGTCTTGGGCTACTAATTGGAAAAAGTCAGCAGTTCAAAGACATCAGCTTCTCTGCAGAAAAAAAGAGATGATATTCTCCTCCTGAATACAATCACAACCTCAGAAAGCTGATGGAGAGTTGGAGTGATCAGTGGTACAAGATAGTGGTGGAACTATATGTCTTTCCATTACATAGCACTTAAAATGCGGAATTATGCTTATTCTGAATTTTTAACTCTGACTGATTCTTAATAGGACAAGATAAATTCTGATTTTTTTCCCCCCACCATCAGTGTGAGGTTTGCTTAAATCCAGTAATAAGGAGCCCTTGAATTCTTAAATCAAGCTGGCAAAATGCAGGAATGTCTGTCCCTGGCACTGACAGCAGTAATGCTTTTGTGGCCACAGCGAAAATGTGGATGTAAAAACTGATTGCCATTGGAAAGTAAGAGAGGCTGTTTCTGTCTGTCTCTGCTAAATTTTTGTTCTCTGACCTCCGTCTATCCATGTACCCTTGAGACTGTCAGCTGTGCAATAAAGTGATCATCATAAGGAAAATGTACCACTCAGGCCCATTGCATAATATTTGACATTTTCCTAATAGTCTCTCCCAAGTTAACCTACAGCGTAAGTTATTAGAGCCTTGCACAGCCAAGGGAGTTGTACACGACAAGCCAGGTTCAGCCTACAGCTGACTGCTCTGGGAACCTGGCTCTGCTCCTCATGAACACTCCTGCTTCTGTTCCCCTGAGTTTTGGTTAAAGTTTCTCAGCTGTACAGCTCTAAGCCAACCTACTTCTGCCACCTTTCCTATCCTCCTCCAGGCAATTGCAGAGTATTCACTCTTCAAAGCTAAAGTGGGAGCATGCCAGAGGGACTGGGAACCTTGGAAATCTGTGCTGTCTTCCTAATGAATTTCTGTAGCTGTACCTGCAAAGACTGCAGCAATAAGAAGTTCCTTCCTAAGGGGAGTTCTGGTGGCCTAGTGGCAAGAAGCTCCACTGCAATCCCAGAGGAACATGGTTCGAATCCACCAGATGCTCTGCCAGAGAAGGAGGCGCAATATCCTCCTGTACCAGTCAGATCTGATTTGACGGTACACGCACACAAAATAAAAAAAAAAAAAAGTTCTTTCCTTATGCTGTTGTTGAACCTAGACACACACACACATACACTCAAAATAATGAGTGAAATTCAGCAGCCTGAAATAAATTCACTTATCCTTGAAATCTTGAAACCTACATTCATCTAAATTAGTTTTGGTTGGTTGGTTATATTTTTGGACTTTTGAAAAATTGAAAATAAAAAAATAATATGCACACATTTGAAAAGTGCTTATTTAATAGGAAACAGAAGTTTATCTTTGGACTGTTGTGTATCATTGAGTCAGAATCAATGCATAACAGTTGGTTTTCAAAGGCAGTAAATCACACTCCCATGAAGTAGCTGGTGGGTTTGAACTGCTTACCTTTGCATAGGCAACGTAATTCCTTACCACTAAGTACAGAAGGAAGGTTTTGCTGGGTTTTGTTTGTTTGTTTCTTATGTTTTTATTTATCTATAGAAACAGATGCTTACCAGTTGCTGAAGCAGTCCACTCTTCAGGATAATACATATTACTCTGACGACAGATTCCAAAAGGCAACTTTTTCTGTACCACTGTCATCAGGTAAGTGAAGGCTGGCGTTCAGGTTGTCTGGTCCAGGGAAAGGAGGCTGTTCTTGGAAGGATTCTGAATTTTCCAGTAACAAGCTGTCCCAAGATCAGAATGAACAAATAGTATCCTGAATTCTAGGGAGCTCTAGCGCAGCTGGTGGATTCAAACCACATACCTTCAGATTGACAGTGTGACTCCTGACTATCAAGCCACCAGAGCTCCCTCTCCTAAGAGAAAAGAATACATTTCTTTGTTAAAATAATTGTGGTAGTACTGCTATAGTAATGCTATATAACTGAAACAATTAATTTTTTATACTTCATAATTTTATTGTTTTCAGTGGTTTTTATTTTAGTACACCTTTTTATTTTTCAGTGTAAGTCACCTGAACTCCCTTTATAAAAGTTAATTGATAGTGAATAACAATAGAATTAAGACAAAAGTAAATATATTTTTAATGGTTTTCTTAATACAGTAGAGTAAGTTTGGATAGGGATGACAGAACTTTCCCTCGTGGGTCTATGTTGTACCAACATAGCCATGGCCCTCAACACCCCCTTGGTCTCATTTGGTATGTCACAGTAGCCACTTGTTATAAGTGGCACAGCAATCACTCCAGATCCATTTTCCTCCCAAACTCCCAATTTCTTAAGTAATAGACAGTGCCCCTGAGCTGTTTTCCCTTTCTTAATGGAATGTTAGTTCATTTTAAATTCTGAAATGAGAACTATAAAATCCAAGACAACTGAAGTTTCAATTTAAATGTAATTTCTTTCAATCTAGAATTTTTGTTTTGAATAGTTGTCATGGTGTTTCAGCTTGGTTAGACCATGATGCTCAGTGTTTTGGCAGCTGTGTAATGAGTGATCAGTCATCCTGTGCATATGAGCTGATATAATCAACTAAGCCATTACAATGAGTTTAAAAGGGGATGCAACACTCTTAATGAGGACACAGCCTGATCTAATAGAAGAAGATTTTGCCTGGGGTCTGGGCCTGAACCTTATAAGAAACAAAAGGAAAGAAAAGTGAGGTGAGAGAGGGACTGTAAAATCACCATAAAAGAAGAGATGAGTGAAGAGGTTACACCCTGTGCTATCAATCTCTCAGACCAAGGGAAGACTGATGCAGAACACACACAGTCTCCAAGGGATATCAAGCCCACAGATGCTGAAGGAGACAGAACTTTGCCACAGACCTGGCAGAGGATGAAAGCCTTCCCCCAGCACTGGCATCCCTGAATTCAGATGCCTAGCCTTCCAGACTATGAGAATAAATTTGTTAAAGCCATTTACCTGTGATATTCCTGTTATAATAGGAATAGTTATATAACTGAAACAATTATTTTTTTCCTTCTTTATCATTTTATTTTTATGAGTTTCAGTGGTTTTCATTTTATTACACCTATATTTTTTTAAGTAAGTCGCAATTCCCATTGTTAAAGTGAATTAATAGTGAATTACAGTGAATTAATACAGAAGGCAATATAGTTTTAAGGGCTTCATTTTTTGGTAGCCACCATATCATATTTTCACTTATCAGATTTTAACAGTGATTTTTTTTTAATATCATATTCACATTTCCACTTTTTTCAAAATTGTCTTCAGACAGACCTTTATTGGAAGGACAGTCTAATGATGCATTAGACTTAGCTGTCTTTGGCGATCTAGTTAATATGAAGTTGTTTTGAGTTGGCTGCTGAAAAGCTCAGTTGTTTTGCTTACTGTGAGTACTCAGTGAGCCGTGGCAGAATGAGTACCCAGTGCAGGGTTTGGTTGACAACTGTGGCAGTGGTGCTCTAAAACAGGGTCTCAAAAACAAACAAACAAAAAACAGGGGCTCTGCCTGGTAGAAAGTGTCACCTTTATGGAGAGATCTAACATTTCTGATATAACATAGTTTTTTTTATCACCTTCTTCGCAGTTGAGTTACAGAGTTAAGAGTTCAGGGAGATTTTAGAAAATATTCATCCACCTCATTGTACATGTGAGGCCCCTTAAGAACCATGCCTTGTACAGAGCATTACTTCTGGTTAGTGGACACATGCACAGTTTGGAGGAAAACACCATAAATCTGTGCATAGTTGATTGGACAGGTTCACAGAACAAGTGTATTTGGTAGAAGTGTTAATTTATTGAGGATGCATAAAAAATTATGGTTCTATCAGTACACTAATCATTAAAGTATGTGTCATTTATTTGTGAATGAAATAGTCATTAACTGACCATGAAGCTAATCAACCTTCCATTCCATTCCCCAACTTCCTGTGAAATTTCTTTCTGTACTTTTCAAGATGCCAGATTTTCCTGTATTATAATAATAGAAGTGCTTCTGATGGGTTTGCCTGCCTGGTGTGAGATGCTGCCTTGTGTATTTTACATCTTGTCACACATTGCTCTTTACCTCCACTCTCATTCATATCCTTGGGAATTCTGCACTGGATAGAAGGATAAAAAGGCTGAGAGGAAGGATAAAAGATCCTGTGTACTGACTGGGTTTACCTCACAGCACTGTGTGTTGGGGTTTTTGCTCACAGACTCCAAATAGACCTAATGAAGACGTGCACATTTCAGGTATTTTTGTTAAGTGTCTTAGGCCTCTGACTTTGGGACTTTCACTAAGGAAAGCTACTTAAACCTTGTGCTTCAGTTTTCATGTCTGAAAAGACAGTCTATTTAAGCATGTGAGACTCTCTTCAGATTGAAGGTGACTACATTATTGAGGGGATTATTATGCGGACAAGCAAGTTACAGGTTAGAAACTCAGAAAACACCATTTACAAGGATACCTGTACACTGTCAATTCATGATCCCCAGGAATATCAACAGTGAATAGGCCAGTGAGACTGAGGTTAGGGACCCCATCCCCCATGGCTGACTAGGTGCACTGTGGTTCACTCAGCTTCCAGGAAAGAGTCCTGATGTGTATCCTCCTCACTAACCTTTCCAGGATGAATAAAGAATGGCCTTGGCCATTTTCAATAGGAATTCAGCTTCCTCTAAGAGATGGAAAATAGAAGAACTGTCAGAATTCAGGGTGGTTGAGGTAGGTCTGTCAGAGTGGCAGTTATTTCTGAAATCTGATCTGGAAATTGTGACCTGAGACTCTCCACTATGCTTGCATAAGACTAAGACCTGTATACTTATGTGTGCTTCTTGTTCTCTTATTAAAGCAGATCCCTTCTGGGTACTTTTATTTTTTTTCGTTTTTGTGACTTTTTTATAGTATTGTATAGCATGCCATTCCTTGCCCTAGCAGCTCCCTTTGCCTTCTTTAGTTCAGACAGCATCTTTCCCTGTTGACGTGGATTTTATCAAAATTGTGAGGCTGCATCTTACTACTTTGGGTTTCATCACTGCGTAGCAGCCATTGCTAACTCTGCCTTCCTGTTTGTGCTCATCACAGGTTTTAATAATGGCAGCAGCACACTCAATACAAAGACAACTAATGATACTGCTTTGGAAGCATATTTTTCATCTGGTGAAGTAAATCCTTTGACAAGGTAAAGTCATAAAAGAAATGTCACAGCTCAATTCGGTTCTGGCTGTTTATTATTTTGTTATGTGACTTGATGGAGGGTTATGATGTGGGGTTTTGTTTATCTAAAATAATAGTTAAAACTTTAGTCTACCTTTGAAAATACTTGCACCAGAGCCAAGCATTGTTTTGCAGCTGTTGTTGCCTTGGTTTAAAACTCTGTTGACACCTCAGTGAACCACACATTAGCATCTACAGCTGCTCGCAGTAGGACTGCTTAGAGACCACACAAAGGAAGTTGTCAGGAAAGGGCCAAGAGAAAACATCAGGCTTTAAAAGAAATGAAATGGTTGTTTCTTACTTCTGAGATGGCTGATATTTAAACTAGCAATAGTGGACTATACACGGTGGGTGGTTGTTTTTAACCAAGTAAAGATAAGTCTTTCCTTTTCTGCTGCTTTCTTGCTTGTTTCTTTTACTGAGGAATAAAATTTATCTCTTCGCTTTGTAGACCATAGCACTTCTTAGAAGTTTTCTGAAAAATGATAAATGAACTGTTTGTCGTCAACATAAAATGCTAACTATACCGTGCCATCAGATGCCTGAGAGCAAGAATAAGCAGTCATCTGATGAAATATTCATAGCACTTAAAACACCACAGAAAGTTTCATTTATAATAATGTCTCTCATTATAAAGGTATTCTTAAAATGATCCATTGTCTTACATTTAATTAATTACTTACTCCAATGACATTTTAAAGCAAAAACTTTACATATATAATGTCCTATATAATATCCCATATTATGAAACTATTTGATCAAGAAATGTAATACTTTTATAAGAAAAATTATATTTTTTTTACAGTGTTTAAAAAGAAATTGTTTTAAATTAAACATTTTCCCTTTTGAAAACCTGGCAAGGTCACTGTGAGAAAATTGCTCATTTAGTTGATCAGGAATTGCTACTGTTATCTTAGCAGGAATTATTACCTGAGTTTTCAACTATAATTTTAAGAGGGATCAGGAAATAATGAATTAGGGGATATAGATGTTTTAAAGCTTATTTGTTTTTATAATTATGCTATAAGTTCAAGTCTGAGGTTATCTCAAAGATATTTTAAAAGATAATTTCTACAGAGAGGTTTCAGAATTTATTATTACTGTTTTGTTCAATAGTGTATCCCTTCAGTGTTTAAAGATTATTCGAAGTATTTGTGTGCTTCTGCTTTATGTTAGAAGCATTAATAAACCCAATTCTTAACCTTTTGTTTGTATATCTGTATATATTTATTTGAGGGGGAGCATTTGAAAGATATTCAGAAAGCAATTGGATTCACAAAACTAAAACCACTTTTCCAATTTGAAATCAGAGGCTTTTTGTTAATACAGTTGTTTCTGAATGAAATTAATTTTCTAAATAAATTATAATTTCATAATACCTGTTTTTAGAAAAGCCTTTCAGGAATAATGACAACGTCTGGTCTTTAAGCAAGTGAGTTTGGTATTGCATCTGTTATATCTGGGTTCTTGTGCTGGGATTGTGGTTGTTACTATGCCACCCTAGGCTTTAGAGAGCTCTAGTTTTGCTGTTTGTGTCTAGATTCACAGAAATTTCTTAAAGGCTTACATTTAAGGATCTCACTTACTACAGTTGCTCCTTGAGCTTTATTGCTTTTACAAGTGGTCTCAAAACCCAGTACTTGAGAATAAACATAACATGCAGTGCTGCTGTAGCACTTTTAAAAATTCTTCTTTGCTCAGTGTTGTCAGTGAGCTGATGAGCAAGCTCAAAAAAGACCCCACTGGACCTGGGGGGGGGCGGGGGGAAATGGCTTCCTCTGATGTCCTAGAGACAATAATTATGATGTGCTGTTAAGCCCAAACTATAGCTGAGGGATTTTTACTTTAAAGCAGCGGCTTGGGTGCAAAAATACATTTATAGCTCTTTGTCTGCCCCTCATTATATGTGGGCCTGATTCATTAAGTAATTGGTTTGCAGTTGTTTACATGAGTATTAAGGCCTTCTTTTCAGAGCCTTTGAGAGATACATTGTGCAAATGCTGCCCGTGATGAATGCAGAATGAGGGCCAGAGGGTCTGTCCTATTGGCTAAACAGTGCACTCTGTTGAAAAGCCAGAGAAAGGGATTGGGTGCTGCTTTGCATAGCAATGACTCTCCTAATAAGTGTTACAGATTAATATACACAAGCTATAAAAGATGCAAAGAGATACTCTTAGCACATTTGTACATGCTCACTTTGTTGTGATGGTAGTGGGGCCTGGGTGCTTTCACATTCCATTTTTCAGAGCTGTGGCTTCAGTGCATGAGCTGTTACAGAATCAGATGTTTATTGTGTTATAAATCACGGGCAAGTAGGCAGATAGGCAACTGTTTATTACTAAAGATTCTTTCAGTGTTAATCTTTTTCTACCTTTGTATTTACTTTAGCAAAAGCATTTTGTGGTTGAGTAGGGATGAAAGGCATAATGTATGAAGGAGTGAGTCCTAATGAGAAGCTGTTCTGCCAGTAAAGAACACTTGTTCCCTTTTGTTCAGGGCTACATGCCAAAGCTTCCTCTTCTCAGCAAACATCATCTTGCCTTATCTCCTCCAGGAAGCAGTTTGCACCCTCCCAGATGAGTTTTGAGAATGTATTTTAACAGCTTGCCATGTACCTTCAGCTTACCACTAGTTGAGGCAAACTAAAAGATGTTTCTTGCAAGGTAATTGCCTAGGGGAAAGGTAGCAGAAGTCACCCAGACACTGTCCCCAGGCAGAGCCCCTGGGCAGCCAGCCCTTTGTGGGTGGCAGTCCCTGCAAGCCCTGCAGGCCTGGCAGCGGCCAGAGGAGGGCGCTCGCCTGCAGTTGAGCCTCTGGTGCATCAGTGGCATCCAGGTTTGGTTTGTTTTTTTTTATTTTTTGTAGTGCTGGTGGTTTTGCTCAGTGGATGTGCCATTTTCCCTAAGGAACAACATTAAAAGTACCCGGAGCTAACAGTACAGTAAATGAAAACGAGCTTCCCGAGCTTCCTTTAGATCTTCATGTAATAGCACATTTCTGTCTATCGCTTAACAAATCTACATTCTCCATAAATCCTATCAACTTAAGACACTCCCTGATGTTCCATATCTGTCCTATAATAAGCCCACTTATTTTATCAGTACATGGCGTGAAAGAACAGTTACTTGATTATTTCAAGTAAAGGATTTAATAGGGTGACGGGCGGCCCTTTACCGCTAAAAATTATATCTGCTGTAAGGTGCCAATTTAGCCATCAGGGGGCGCTCAGACTTTGTCAAATTAAAACGGACTCTGCTCGGTTTGTCTTTAAATGTTAAAATTAGTGTTTACAGAGATGTCTTGGCACACTCATTTGGATTTTTTTTCTTCTGGGTTTTTTTTTTTCTTTTATCATTCAAAAAACTGTATATTTTGAGAAGAATCTAAGTTGAAATGCTATTTGATAACTAGTACTTATGTCAGCCAATGTTGTTGTTGTTGTTGTTATGTGCCCTCGAGTCCTTTGTGACTCATAGAGACCATATATACAACAGCCCTAAACCCTGCTCTATCCTGTGCCAATCACCCTGCCTCTGACACACCCATCCTGATTACCCCAGTGACTGAATCAATCCACCTCATAGAGGGTCTTCCCCTCCTGCACTGTCCCTCC